GATAATCTGGCCGATATGCTCACAAAAGTAGTTTCTGGGATCAAGTTCCAACACTGTTTGGACTTGGTCAACATCTCTCGGAACTAAGCACCTTCGGGGTGCATGGCAGTTTTGCTCGATCACTATGTTGGATAGAGAATCCTCGCCGAGGTGGAGATTTGTTGAAGATTGGCTCAGATTTGGCTCAGCTTTTCTTTGTCAACGATGGCTACTGATTGAAGAAAAAATTGAAGAAGCTAGACATTTTCAGCCGAGCTACTCATGGTAGGGTGGCTAATCTTGTTGGTTGTTAGTGGTTGCCATAAATGTTGTCGGTGGCTTTTTGAAGACTTTGGCCCTCCATTTCATCTATAAATGGTTAATGAATCGGAGGGGGTCAGTGTGGTGAGTTGAAGAGAGAATACAGAGCAGAGAGAGAAAAATAGAGTGTGTAATTCTTGTTCCAAATATAGTGAAATCCGCTGCCCGTGGACGTAGGCGATTTGCCGAACCACGTAAATCTTTGTGTGTTCTTGCTTGTGTGTGATTGTTTTCTCCTTCCTAGGCACAACATAAGTGTTCTTCAAAAGTCATCCTACATCAGTTTAGTTGCTGATTTAAGTCTTTCCTCAATTTCTGTTTCATTCAACTTCCCAAAGCTTAACAAGCGTTGAAGTAAAAAACCTTGCATAACTCGAAACAAAATCATTGGTTTTAGACTCCAATATACAAGCACCACCCTCCAAAAACAGATCCTATCAAATGAATTTATAAGAGTTGAAACCTCATTAAATTATCTCTACTATTTAAGTCACTCACAAAATAAGTTGGTTACTCTTGACAAACATTTTTTTTTTTTTAATAAAAAAAACCCCTTCATGTATATGAATACAAAATTTTAAAGTGTGTAGTTATCGTTCAACATGCTACATGTTTAGGAGTCACAACTGTGGCCTTAAATCATTAAAGGTGATTGCATCAATTGCTTGTGTTACACATTTTATGCTTTACAAAAAATAAAAAGAAAAAAAAAAGGGAAAAGTAAAGAAAGAAAAGAGGGAACATGTTTTTGTTTTCCCAAAAGCTTAAGTTGAGAGGAAATAGGTCTAACAATGTATATCAAGTTAGCACTCCCTCTCACATGCGATCCCCTCTCACACATGAAAAAAGATGCACGAAGACGGGCAAAACAAAGTGCACAATGACAAAGATAACAGGGTGACAAGACTTGAACCAAAGACTTTTTAGAACCAAAACACTGATATCATGTTAAATTACCAATTGCCCAAAAAGCTTAAGCAATTCGAGAATGGATCCAATAATGTGATGTTGGACGACTGGAAAAGAAAAAAAAAATGTAAAAGAAAAGAGACGGCACACCGAAAGAAAATAAAAGAAATCTTAATTCTTTGATCCCAATATCAAGAACTCAACTTAATTCAATATCATAGTCTACCTAAACCTACTACCTAACTGCCACCAACACCTATATGTAGAAGATTTGTTAACTTAGAGAAGGATCTTGCACCAAACAACATACTGAAATGCTGTCAAATTCATTTTACATTACTTACTTAGCTTGACTTCTTTCCAATACAGATCTTTCAGATTCATTCTTGTTAGTTACTTTTACTTTCAAGTTATATTCAACGTTTGTTTATTCAGGCATGTTAATGTTAAGTAGTCTCATTTTTAGCACAAGATTCTACTTTTTCAATCAATTTTGCCTACATGTCCAACACTTCTTTTCATTCACATCACGGCTAGGAATAAGTTAAAGTTCACTTCATTGTGGCAAAGGAATAACCAGTGATCTTGCCCTGGATCACAGACACTTGACCTAGTTAGGTATCATTATTCCAATCACAATTGGACCAAACTTGGTCCCGGCATGCTCGCACTTTCAAACGGCCTTCGGAGTTATTTTCCAAGAAAGCATGAATAGTATTATTTCCCATGTCGAATTTGTGGTTGCCGGCTTTCACTTCCTTGATTGCCAAAAAATTTTCTTTACTCTTAACCACATGTTGAGAAAAGGCAAAATCAACCCACCAACAAGAGTGTCACAGTCCGCAAGAAGCAACTCAAAGACCACACAAACAATATCAGGTCCTTTAAAATTTTTATCATTATTCCTCTGAGGACAATTTCTTTCATGGTGACTAGGTTGCCCATAGTGATAACAAGAACCCATTTGTCTTCGTCTAAGACCATTTGTTTTTCTTAAACTTGTTATTTCGTTTGAAGGGTCTGTCTTGTCTTGTCTTGGCTTGGCTTATGGAAAGATGGGGCACTAAAAAAAATTGAGAACTAGATGCAATAATAGCAAGTTGGGAAGACAGAGTACTGGAAACAAGGTGAGACACATTGCAAGCTTTCTTTTTAGCTCTTTCTTTCTGTCTCAATGCCTAGCACCGTACGTAGGTAAATTTTTCTTTGTTATTTCTTGGCGAGAGACAGTGGAGCCTTGCATTTTGCCAGGTATTGGGTTGCCTAGAGCTACAAGTTTTTTGCTATAAGTAGCTTATTAACATGTTCAACAACATATTCATCCTCTTTCATAAGAGTACCATTACATTTTTCGAGTGTTAAAATTATCCAAAATTGTTGCGGTAACAACAAAATATACAAATTATATTTGGAATAGCATGAAAAGAACTAGTAAAGCTAACGACAGTTAGAGACTAATAAAATACAGATAAAGAGACGAACCAAAGTGTAAAAATAACAGAAAATTCATCATACCGATTGAGAAGCCATGTCTAAGAAAGCTCTTGCTAGAGGCACAAGGCAAAACCTGTGCCAATTAAGAGAAAATTAACCATAATTAATTCAAAGATTTTAACTTTAATATTTCAATTAGAAACTTGAGAAAATGTGAGAAAATCATTGGAACGAAGACTGAAGTGGGTCTTTCTGAGTAGAGAATTCTAATTTTACATGACAAATCAATTGACATGTAAGGTTCAGCTTTCTCGGCAACCAAACAGAGGGTGTTTTTTTTTTAAAAAAAAAAATGGAAAATTGGAAGAAGAAAAGAAACATACATTCCTCTGCCTCCGGCTAGGGCTTCCTCAGATGGGTCTTTCCATTCATCAAAACTGCACAGAACAAAATTCACAAATAATACATATATGTATGTATGTGATTCACAGCTCTGTTCCTAATAGTTTTTTAAATTTTCAAGCAAGCATAAAAGTCTATATATATATATATATAGAGAGAGAGAGAGAGAGAGAGAGGATTACACCCAACCGTAGCGCTTGTCGAAGAGTAGGCGTTTGGAGGTTCGTCTGGAGGTTGAAGACGCAACCGTCCTCGAGTTGGAGTCCATACCCGTTGTACTCATATCTCTCTCTCTCTCTCTGTCTCTCTCTCGTTGCAGATAATCCTGGTTTGGGACAATTTAAAAAATAAAAAAATAAATCATGGACTAACTTTATAACAAAATAAATTAATATAAATTTTTTATTTTGTCAATTTAAATTTAATTTTTTTTTTATATATTTTCAATCAAAATTATTTGTTAATTTTTGTTAATTAAGATTGACAAAAAAAAATAATAATTTAGTCATTCAACCCAATATAGATATATATATATATATATATAAAATGTCTGAAATATCTATTTTTATTAAGTTTAATGACTAAGATTTCTATTTTTTTGTTGATTTTATCCAATGGATAGTGTTGCATTAAATTTAAGAAACTGAGAAATTTCTCTGAATAAAAATAAACTAGAAAAATTTTCAATTTTCAATTTTCAAAAAATTGAAAACTCACACAAAATTGGGAAATTTTAGTATACCCAAGAAATTTTAACCCAAAAATTACAAATTTACAAAAAAACAAAGAAGCATCATTTCAAAACTCCAAATATAATATATATATATTTAAACAAATGAGATTCATCTAAAATTTATTTTTCTGAGAAAATTTGCAATTTTTCAGAGATTCTTAATTTGTAAAATTTCTAATATTGTTGCGTTATATAAATTATATTATAGATGCAACGAGTAGGGTTTCAAAAACATAAATTTTATTAAAAATGAATGTTTATAATAAAAGTTATTACATTTTAAAGTTATAAAGTAATAATAATTAAAGAATAAAAAAATTCATGAGCTATGTTGGCCAACATACCACCACAACACATTTTTATTGACATCACGTTTGCATGAAGCTCATAACTCTAGTTTTTGCTAAACTCGCCTTACTACAAACCAGAGAATGTGTGTCGCGAATGAGAGCTTTTGAGAAGATTGCGAAGCGATAGCGCCGGAGATTAGAGTTTCATATTACAAAGTCAACGAGAAGATTCTCTAACACTATACAAATCCCTCCTGTGTTTAGGGGTGCAACTCGGGCGGGCTCAACCCGAGCAACCCGAGCCCAGTCCAAGTTTTTTTAGGGCTTGGACAACTATATCTTGCAATCTGGACGGGCTTGGGCAAAATTTTGATGCCCGAATTGCAATTTGGGCCGGGCTTGGGCAGAACCAATGGCCAACCCGAGCAACCCGAACCCGAATTGAATTTAATATAATATATAATATATAATTTAATAAATTATATAATAGTCTTCTATTAAGTAAAAGAGTTAGTCTTAATTTTTATTTTTTATTTATTTTTTGTTAGTCTTCTACCATTAGATTAGCATCTTTTATATCATCTACCTACAGGTTTTTGGACTCGGACAATTCGGGTAATTCGGGCAATTCGGGCTAACCCGAGCTCAAAATACAAAGCTCGGGCCGGGCTTGGGCAGCAATGCTCGGGTTCATGGTCGGGCTTGGGCGGGCTTGGGCACTGCCAAATACAATTCGGGTCGGGCTTGGGCAGACCCCCAACCCGACCGAACCCGCCCGAGTTGCACCCCTACCTGTGTTAGATCAAAACACAGTCCTAAAGATGTTACAAATTCAGAATTCATGCAAAATTCGCTATCCAGAAAATAATACTGTTGAAGTAATTTGCCGATTGGCACTTTTGTTTTTGTTTTTTGACAAATATAGACACTAATTAAAACATAAAAAGAAAGCCGACATTAGAGTTTCATATTACAAAGCTAACCAGCCAACTAAACAAAGACGAATAAAACAAGCCGACTAGAAAACAAAAGACAATATGGGAAATGTCATCCAAGATTGGCACATTTAAACTACAATTATCTGAAAACAACAAATAATTTTTTCGATTAGAACTGCCCTAAGATGGCATTATTAGACATGGTCATTGAAACAGCAATCCTAAGGGAGGGAAGGAGAACTAGCCATGGCATGATGGCTCGTGAAGGATTTCATATTGCTAGTAGCAGTGAACGCCTTCGGTTGAACAAAATACACAAGCTAGGAACTACAAAGCCTTGAGAAAGAAACCCTAGCTAGCCAATCTACAAAGTAGCAAACAGATGTGGCACTTTTAGTCCCAAATCTGCTTTAACAGACTAATGCCAACAAGACATAACAATGCACAGAGGCTAATGCATGGATTAACTTACATGACAGCTTATATACCATCACCACAAGCTTGGACTGACAAAAAACACGAGACCTAGGGCATAGAAGAACAAGAAAGATGCTACATTGTTCATGGCTGAAGAGACAACCGTGTTTATTATGATGGGGCACCAAGATATGAGGCAAGCCGCAAAATGTCACTGAAGATCCCACCTGCCGTGACTTGGGCCCCAGCACCTGGCCCACGGACTATCAGAGGCTGGTGCTTGTATCTTTCAGTGGTAAAAGCAATGATGTTGTCAGAACCTGAAAGCTGAGCAAATGGGTGATCTTTCTTGTATCTTCCCAATTCCACAATCCCTTTTTGATTAACCACATCCACCACTCCAACATATCTCAAGACCTTCAAATACCACCACAAGCTTATGAGAAGACACGGGGGGGAAAAAAAAAAAAAAAGAAGAAGAAAAGAAAAGAAGATAGGGGAAAAAAAGTGAGATAATTCATTGTGTTGTTAAAGTGAAACTGATAACTAACTGCGCAATACCATAATCCCTCCAAGCTCTTTAATTATTTATTCTAATGTGATGTGACAGTTTTTCAACCTAATGTATCCAAAGCATATTTGGACTACCATAAAACCCTCAGAACTTGTGAATAATTAACATTTTAGGATCATCACAGTTTATCCTTAAAAAAACAAAAATAAATAAATAAATAAATTCAATAAAAGACTTGCTTTATTGGTTTATTCGCTGTTGCTCTTTTGAGAACTTGGGAAGCTTAGTAAATCTCCCAAGAGAATTTGATTGCTGCATTACTATCGAAAAATAGTTTTGAAGAAATCCCACCAGCAGACATGGGGCCATCATAGGGATAAAAGTTAGGACACCCCGCAGCTAATGCTATGTCATCTTCAATGGCCCACTTCTTCCCTCTCCCTCTCTTTCTTTGGTTTTGCAGGTTAATAATCTCAGTTAGAAGCTTTTTTTTTTTTTTGAAGGAAGTTGAGGTGGCTTGAACCTAATCTTCTAGATGTCTAGCCTAAAGGCCAGAATTGATGCTCTCTTGGAGACATGACCCCTAATAATTAAGGCTCCCAATGTCAGCGACATTCTAGATGATGAGCTCTTTTAGATACAAGTCAAATTAAAATTGATGCATTTAGATTTCCATGAAATGTTTAGCACTCAAGTTGAACTCTTAACCAACGATATATAGATTTATTTTCTCCCTCCCTCCCTCCATTCTTTTCTTTTCATTCTTTTGTTTGCCACTTTTGAAGACGAGGGAGGGAAATGGAGGGCATGGGAGGGGGTTGATTAAATAGTTCATTTGTAAATCAAAATTTGACTACTTTTGCTAGTAGTGTCCTAGAATACTCACTTCCTTTGCATCCTCTGCATCCTGACGTTTCTCAGCCATGTCTTGATCATGTTGTGGCAGTTGCTGGAGAAATTCCTCAGCTGATGCAATACCCTGAAACAAATCATTTGAACATCAAATCAAAGATGAACTATGTTTCCAGCAAATTACTGTACAATTGGAAACAAAACTATATCTTACCCTTAATGGTTCTGGCACAAGACTTTGAATAGGGATATCTGAAAGCTCTAGCTTTAGACCAGATTCTCTGGCAAGAATTATCACCTGAAATGTGAAAATAAACAGATGGGCATATGATATGATTCTCTCTTTTTTTTTCTTTCTTTGTTTGGTTCCTTTTGGCAAGACATTAGCTAGCTCACAAAAGGTTAATTTTTTAACACGTTTTAGTCATATATCCAGGTCACTAAATGGAAATTGAAGAGATCTTCATTCATTAAGGAGCTCTTTACAGTTTGAAGTACTCAGAGGCACTCATGAACTACTACAAAATTACTTGAGACAAGGTTAGCACCTATTACCTTTCTGGCCACATCTGTTCCAGATAAATCATCCCTCGGATCTGGTTCAGTATAACCTGCCTCTTTTGCCTCCGCCACCACCTCACTGAAAGCTCGTGTGCTGATAAAGTTGTTGAAAATGTAACTCAGAGTCCCACTGCATCAACAAATCTTGAAGTAAGACAAGTTGACAGAAAACTATGGTACACCATACACATGACCAAAACAATTTAGATACTTGGATTGCTACATTGATCAATTTAAATCAGTAACTTTTCACGTTTGCAAGTTGAGAAAACCAGCATGACTAACCTAAAAATGCCTTCAATCCGCAATATTTTGTCCCCAGTTTCAAGGAGACCTCGTAAGGTGCTAATGATTGGAAGACCAGCTCCAACAGTAGCTTCATAGAAGTAATGTGTATAGGATTGGCGTTGAAGATCTCTCAACCTCAAATACTGGGATTTGGATAACAATCATGTCATCGAAGCCCCAAGTAGAGCGTTTAAAAAAAAAAGAAAAAGAGGATGCAGCATACAGTGGCTAATATATTAATTAAAGATAACAATGCTCTAAACTTACCACATAAAATCATAACCGGATAAGTTAAATCATGCAAATATAATGTTACCTGATCAAGTGGTCCTGAATTCGCCCTCTTATTTGGCGTAATTACATGAATTCCCCTTCGCAACCAATCATAGTAATGGCTTGGAATGCTAGAGTCCGCTGTACAATCTACCAACACGGTATTTGGAATAAAATGATTTCCATGCACATTTTGAACAAATTTCTCCAGGTCAGCCAGTTCTCCCTTCTCCTTTTCAAGTTCTCTCCATGTAGTTAAGTCAATACCCCTGTAATCAGAGATGAAAATGATTAAGGGTCATATACCTTGGCAGAGATTTTTTTTGTTTCTTTTTTTCTTTTTCTTTTTCTTTTTTTTTTTGGTATTTCTAAACCAAATATCAAACCAAGAAAAAGAAAAATAGAAAGGAAAAAAAAAAAAAAAACAAAGATCCGAACTAGATTAAAAACAAAAGATTTATTCCTGAAGTTGCTCTTTTCTAGCACTCCTTCAGTTCCAGTGAATATTGACGTATTGATAAAAGCACTTGAAGTGGTTTCATTAGCTTGCCCACCAATGGGAGAACTAGGTCCTCTCAGTTACACCTCTGCATTTAGGCCAATTTGTGAGGAGGTGGTCACAGTGCACCCAAAGAAAGTATCACCAATCGTAGGCCTTTCAAGCATCAAGGCATCCTTCCAATTCCCATAATAAGGTGTTTGGAAATGGCTTTTTGACTTTTTTAGACGGTAAAAAAGCTATGTGTTTGGGAAGTTGCTAAAAAAGTAGTTTTTTCTATGTGCAAAAAGTTGATTAGATATTTAACTTTTTAACTGATGACAGATATGTGCCAAAAAGCTAGTTTATATAGCACATAATATATAGGCTCCTTACCCAAGGGGCGGGAGGAGAAAGATATTTTCACTAACTAATAGAACCCTTGTATTTCCAACAAAATATGAACTTATTTTATAAGTCAATCAAAAAAACATATTAAGATTATAGAGTAAGTTTCTTCATGAAAACTAAAAATGATTCAACCTTAAGAAAATACGAACAAAAAAAGTGTAATTCCAACTTTTAACTATCATAATCAAAGTGGAACTTGATGATCTTTTAAATCTCGAAAATCATTTAAGTTTGATTCAAAGCTAAATTTAATTTTCCATTTAGAATAATAGTAAACACTTACTCTTGATCGTGAAATATCGATTGCTTGTTGAACCCTGTGAATTGCGTGAAAGTAGGATACTCCAAATTCGGGGGTCAAAGAGTTTTATAAAACGTTCAATCACATTGGACATAAATCCTAAAATGAGCTACTACCTACACAAATTTAGTATAGATTCATTTTTCATTCTACTTAATAAATACCACCAATTTTGTGTTAGTACAACCAGTAAACCAAAGTACCATACTATTGTCTCACCCATTCTAATAGAAAATATATCCATGATATCAACTATTTTAAAATAAAAAATTTCATGTAAACTTAAACTTACATATCATTCAAAAGCATTCTCTTGGAGCCAGTGATACCCATAACACGCAAATCCACGTTAAACTTTTCCTTGAGGACTGCTGCCTGCCAAAGAGAATTTATAGTATATATGACCATCATAAAAATTATTTTAGCCATTTAGCTTTGTAAACTTGATATCGAAGCATCCTAGAATCAGAGATAATTTTAGCTACACTAGCAATTACAAAGCAATGCAGAAAAATAAAGCTCAGTAAATAATGTGCCTCCTCATTCCAGAACTACTGTATGGTTAACAATCCCATCATGCCAGGAGCATCTATTTGTTGAGTAAGTTGTCAAAACCTCACCCTAATGTTTTTAGACCCATTTTAGCTTACAGGTATCAAAGCTTACTCAACAAACCTCACCCTAATGCTTTCTTAACATTCAACTAAGAAAGCGACCACTGACAAACAGAAGCCACAGAAATCAGGGCATGAACACTTGTCAACTGTCACTGGAGCAAAGGTTTACTCATAGTCAAAGCTATGCACTTGCAGGAAACTTCTTGCCGAGGGCCTGTGCATCTTTGGGGATTAGTCGGGCTTTAATCCAAACACCCCAATGCCAATCCAAAAAAAAATCCTTTAGCAACCAAACACACCTTATTTTAATTGTTACACTTTTCCTCAAACCTCTTTTATGTATTATTAAAATAATGAACAATAAAAATGATGAATACATTTCATAGCTTCATTCTTAGATCTTCTAGTTCAAATTCATAACACAGGAGGATTCCAGTTATTGACTTCATTTTCTTTAAAAAAGAGGATAGTTCCAGTTCTAACATTTAACAACTGAAATTAAATGTATCAATTATCACTAATCGCTAGAAGAATTACAAAAGACATTGTGTAGGTCTAGATTCAGACATATTGCATAAATTGAAACCTACGGTAGGCATTTGCTTAAAAAGAAAAGATAATGTACCTGATCCCTGAACTGGTCAAGCAGGGTGCCACCAATCAATCCAGGTCCAATAATACCCACTGCCATTGTGGTTTGAGACAGATAAAATCTTGAGTGGACAGCTCTTAGAGCCCTCACAGAGTCTTCTCGCTTGACAACTACAGTGACATTGTACTCTGAGCAACCTTGGGCTATAGCACGGACATTAATATTAGCCTGTAGTACAGTCACTATTTGTAAACTTTTCTTGAAATTTATGAGGAAAATTCATATAAACATAGACATAGACATTGGTTTCCACCTCATGGGAAAGGAAAGATAAAATTTATTTTCCCATCACGTATCAACCATAAAGTACACATGCCAGCAATCGGGTATTAGTCCCCAAGTGCAATATATCTGCTTATCAAATGGGCCGGAAGAATAATTCTGGAGTGCACTATTGGCACACCAACAATTGCTCACTGCATTCCAATTCCCATATTTTGAGTTCCCATATAGTCGAAATGTAGAATGCATGAAGTGGGTGACCATAATTTACGAGAAGAGCTTCACCAACCTTTGCAAGTGCATTGAAAAGTGTAGCACTGACTCCTGGAGTACTTGCCATTTTCTGGCCTACTGCTGCCAAAATGCTACAGTTTGGGATGACTGCAACCTGAGAAGAGCTGAAACTTTTTAGGAGGGGAACTGACAAAAACAGATAGAAATCTTACTGATTATACATGAATACAAGATGACATCCGTGTCCCCAGATGCCATAGAAATATAAGAAAACCAGACGTTTGAGATTCTGGGATAACTGGAAAGCAGTAAGCTTAAAAAACCCTTGGCCCATGTTAATATAATATAGATGCTTCAACATGAAGGTGTACAGGCTTGACACTTAAGCCATTATTGTCATATGATATTTGCATATCTGACTGGGCCATAAGCAGAATTGTATCCTGAAATTTGTTTAAAGGGTCATTCAAACAAATAAAAGTAATATATACATATATACACACAAACATTAGAAATTAGAAGGGCTGTAATGAACCAAACCTCAACAAATCATATATTGCTGGCAAATGTTCGTACATTATTATCTTTGAGTGGTACACACCTATGAGAAACCAACGGATGTATACCTTTGTAATACCTAACCTCTGATAAAATACAAGGGCCAGACCCAAAAAGTTCTTTGGTTTCACCTCCTTTCCAGACTTTAACGGGCTCCAAATAAAATCTGCTCTCAGGCTGTGCTATATTAACTGCAATCTGTCAATCTAAAATTAAAGGAACAGTAAAACGTCTTGTGATACTGATTTCAACAACTATTAAGTAGGTCACTAAAATAATATGCTTCTAAGGCTGATTATTGGTATAAGCATTTCCCCACTACTTTTCAATTTTGGACTGCCACTAAGGTCTTCCCTCTTCATCCACTTCTATTTAATCTCTTGCCTCCACTATCAGTCAAACAATGTGGATGGAAGGGCACTGTGCGATCCAAGCCAGTGAGGATAGGTTGTTTAGATAGAGATCCTAAGGCCAAGTCTGTTCTTTTCTCCAGTCCTGTAACAGCCTCATGCTTGGTAAAGCTCCTATCCAGGTACAGGGAAAGGTGATTGTAGTTTCCACCTTATCCACTCCAATTAGATAATGGTATAAAAATGCTTAACTGAAAAGATTTCTCTCTTAACTTCCACAACGTAAGAGTTGACAATCATGATCCAGAAATTTTAATAATTTCGAACAATTATTGTATAATGAACAGAATGTCAGCTCCTAGGAGTGTATCAAGTCAAACGACAACACCTGGGAAATACGCCCAGCATCCAGAGCATCACGAAATCTAGACTGTAAAGCCTCAGCAACAACTCTCACTTCCTTCTCGGGGACGGCAAAGCACACAGAATGCTCACTGCTAGCCTGTATTAGATCCAATCACTAACTATATGAATTTTACAATATATGAAAAATATTGAGCAGAACAGATATCAGAGTATGAAGATACCTGAGATATCATGATAACATTAGCTCCTACATCTTTCACGGCATCAAAAATGACACTAGCTGTACCAGGAACGCCAGCCATTCCAGTTCTGCAAAAAGAAAGTGCACAATATAAATGGGAAAGGAAGTTAGTTAAAGGCGACGCATAGCATTACAAAAAGATGAGCAGCATTATCATTGCAATACAAGCTCACCCCTCAACATTTACAATGGCCAAATTGTCTATTGTTGCAAAGCCTTTGACAAGAGATTCCAATCTCTGACCATCTTCAAACTCATTGACAGAATCCCGGCATATCATCGTTCCAGCTGCTGAGAGATTGAAGACATTTCTTATAACAATTGGAATGTCATATTGCATCACTGGAATGATGGTCCGGGGATGTAAAACATTTGCACCAAAATATGACTGCACAAGCATGTAAATTTTGTTGTTAAGAATGCAAAATAGTAAGTATCAGCAATTTTGACAGGCATTAAAAGATATTCAAGTTCACCATTTCCCAGGCCTCTTGATAAGACAAAGTCTTCAGTACCACAGCGTCACTAACTGCAGAAGAAAGGTTCTTTAGCAATCCAATCCAACCCCAAATTAACATTGCTGTTAAAATTTCCAGTCCAAAAATTTCTTCACATCATCAATTTTTTTTTTTTTTTTAATTAACATTGCTGTTAAAATTTCCAGTCCAAAAATTGGGATTAAGTAACTATCATCAGAATAATTTTACAAGCTACATAACTGACATTCGAAGAGGCTATTTGGACCAGAGAAGTTCTCAGAGAAAGAAACATTTATGTGATTCAAATGCACAAACAATGGGTTTGCACAGACCTTTTCTGGGATCGGCACTATAAACACCATCAACATCTGTCCAGATTGTGACTTGACGTACCCTGAACAAAGCGCCCATAATAGCTGCAGAGAAGTCACTTCCATCTCTTTTCAAAGTCGTAGGAATATTTTGAGGTGTGCTAGCTATGAAACCAGTTGCAATGATTGTCTTAGATGGATTTTGCGAAAACCATTTCTCAAGTCTTTTTTCAGATTCCAAGTAAACTGGATCAACTTGACCAGAACCAGTGGGATTTACGATAAGGACCTCCCTTGTATCCATCCAATTACAATCTATCCCGTTCTGCAGCAAAGAAAATAAAATATAATTCAGCTAACTTCTGGATCACAACTCCTAGATATTCTTCAAAATAAAGAGTAATCAAGCACCACCTTTCTGACAAGAGACGCCAACATCTGAGCAGACCATAGCTCTCCATGTCCTACAACAAAATCTGTAAAAGATTCGGTTGCATGACCGGCTGCAGTACATTAAACATTTAAGTCAACATAATACGTATAAAAATTATGTTCGCACATAGAACCCCCACAGGTAATAACAGGGAAAAAATTAACAAACACCTCATATTCAGATAAATAAAGAAAAGGATAAAGAAAAACAATAGGGATTATATGTTGCAGCAAAAGGGAAAACGATAGTTTGCAGCATTTTAGCCAATTTTCTGCATCAAGAACTTTTACATGAAAATAGTGGGGGGCGTGATAAACCACATCACAAGGTTTTTGTAATGTTCATCAGCATATATTAGAACTGTTCATTTTCTTCTTTTCCTCCGAAATTTATCTGCTTAATGTACATCTTGGCTCAGCACCTGGGGGGTGTTTTTTTCCTTGTTCTCTTGTTTCATGTGTCATCACCGCCCTATCCAATGGCAATTTGGCACATTTTCTGCGCTTAGACTTTGCACATAACATTATATTATTCTCAAGAAGAAGATCTTGCAATGTAACAATTCGTAAAATATTACAGGATTCTTATAGACAAAATAAAGTATTGCTTACTCATAGAAAAGCAAATGATTAGTGTAATCATTACAGTCACCTTCAACACCTTCTTTAAACAATGCCATGAATGTCAAGCTGCAGAATATATATCTCACAGACAAATGTGCTTCACTCATTACATTGCACGACAAGAAGTGTAACATATTAGCATGATTTTCATTTTAATTTTGGATGCCAGTACCGATCATCCACCTGCCAACTGCTTTCTATCTAAGGCATAAAAAAGGAGAAAACAATTTCATAGGGCATGCAAGACTAAGATAATATCACAAAGATATGAAAATTGAGTTTATGTGACATCCAAAGGGACAAATTTGATACCTATATATATCGCACGAAGCATTGCTTTCAGGTTATTGATGTCATGATGCAACCGTGATAAGAAACTAGCAAGAATATCCCCTTCAAATAGATCAAGTGCTGTTAACTTGTGCTTTTCTAGAACAGCATCCAATGCAGTTATATAAGAATCATCCTGTGACTGTGCCTTGTAGATAAGATCATACATCATATCTGTCACCTTTGACATAGCAGACACTACAACCAATTTTCTTTCTGAATCATCATTAATAATTATCTCCGCAACATTCCGAATTCTTTGGGAGCTTCCCACACAGGTACCGCCAAATTTATGAACAGACCAGGTGTCACCTTTTTGGAGCTGGGCTTTTTCTATGGATGTCTCTCGTACAACATCTGCCAATGGAAAGTGAGGTATATAAATACAATCCAATTATAAAGTTATACTTTGAAACATTATACGATGAGTTCAATTTTCAAAAAACATAATTTGAAACTGATGAATAGTATGGAATGAACCTGTAACTGAAGCACGAATGTGAAAGGTTGACACCTTCCTTCTACTCCATTGACAAATAAAACCCATTCTGAAACAACAAACAAAGGCTAGCATCTTCAGGAGTTGACAAACAACAGAATAAAGTGCATGTGAATTAAAATATATGCAGTGGAGATTCACTTGACTCTGAATTGCAATTTACAACATAGCACTGCAAATTGTTTCAGTAGAAAAAGAAAAGGGGGAGAAAAAAAAATAAAGAAAAGAAAAGAAAAGAAAAAAGAAGTCTCGTGAAGAAACATTGGAACAGAAATTGACCTGTAAAACAGATTTTAGCAATACATATCCACATAAATCAACCACCCAAACAGAAAATTAAGTCCTGATAGCATATTAAGGGTTTAGACCAAGATGGAACACAGTTTTGTCATAGTGCAGCCTTCCTCTAACTGATCTTTTTTAAAAAACTTTTGTTAGCATATTGAGGGTTGAGACCAAGATGGAACACACAGCTTTGTCATAGTGCAGCCTTCCTTTGACTGATCTTTTTTAAAAAACTTTTGATACATTGGTGAATAATAACATTTAAAAAAACAGCATGAGAAACAATAGCCATATGAAACTATTAAAAATAATAAAAACGTTAAAATGTGTTGTGTGAATTTAGTGATGTTTCCCATAACCTTACTACTTACTTGAGGAGGAACAACAGAAAGAGAACCAAATGCCACACTTCTTGATATGGAAAAATGCAGAACAGCATCCACCTAGTAGCTACGATACCAAACTCAATGTAGAACAGCAGTAATAAGGCTGATTTAAGGCAATATCTATGTGTTAAAGCTTGGCGGATATGGTTGTTAGGAATGGTTTTCTAGGTATCTTAAAGACGAGGCAAAAGGATTTTTAGGTTTATAATGCAAGAAACATAAAGTTTTGGGGATGTAAACAGTAACTACAAAACACCTTTGGCTGACTCGTGTTTTTTAAGTGCTAAGAGTTAAATCTTTATGAGAATGAACTATGATATGATTATGAGAGTAAGTTTTCATATTGAAATATTATTGAGGTAATGGGCTTTAGTGATTTAAATTTAAAGTGAAAAGTTCTGCTATTTGATCATTGTTGGCAACATACAGGACATAGATGTTGTGTTTGGTTGAGAGATTTGGAAAGAAAAATGGAAAAGGTAGGTGAAATGTGAAAAAAATATACCTACATTTCACATAGTTTCACATACTTTTTCCCTTTTCCTTTCCAAATTCCTCCCCAAATCCCCCAACCAAACACAGCATGAGGGTTTTGGCAAGTAACTGGGCTGGGTCCCTTTCTACTTCCTATTTGAGGTGAGATTGGAGAGGTGAATTTTGACTGTTTGTAGATACAGGGGTTCACTCCACTACCCACATGCCATACCCATGTCACAGCCACGTCAATTTCCCGATGCCACGTGCCACATTGATTCACAAAACTACATTCTATTGTAAAAACCAGAAACAACTCAAGTTTTAGTAAGAAGATGCTCAGATTAAATTATTGTGCAATTATGCATGGAAGAAGCTAGTGACGTCAGTAATTCAGGGGAATCATGAATCTTCGGAGGAAAAAAAAAAACATATGGTGGAACCCAGCAAGTTCACTATGCATTTAGGTTTCAAATATTTGTTAACCATTAATTAAACTGCCATACACCCCCTAATCAGTAGATCCCATTTAAGAGTTCAGAATTTTGAACTTTGTCAATCTATCTCCAAAATCACTACAGTGCAACGAAAATCATTCCTTTGCAACTATTTAGTTTGGCTAATCCCATTTTGCTTCTCCAAGTTCAACCAAACAGAGTCATATTTTGACTGAAAACGTAGATTACTAGGTTAAATGATGAAGACTGTAAGAAGCTCAAGAAAGAGTATATTCAAAGTAGCGGCGATATTTGGAACTTGGCATGATTTTAAAGAGAAACCGATAGTAATCACACATAATCATATTTCTAGTATTATTAAAGTCTTATTTTATTATTAATTTTATATTTTCTAAGATTTTTAAGGTTAGGGATATTTTGGTAATTTGCAGAATTTCTGGGTATGGATTGTGGGAGTCACCCATGGATCAAGTTATTTAATTAGTTTTTATTTATATTTTTTATTTGATCTTAAATTGGTTTTAAAAGTCAAAAATATTTTAGTAGTTTACATTTTTTGTTATAGTTGGTTTAGGAAGTCCTAAGTCTATATAAAATCATGTAATGCTTCTAATTCAAGGGAATTGATATTTTATAAAAATTTAAGAGCTTTGAAACTTCTTTATAAATTGTGTGATGCAATCAAATCCTAAGTGTGATACCTAAGGGATCTTAGGAGTGATTCTTAAATCTATCTTCTTCTTCTCTTTCTTTCTTACTTAAATTTCAGTACTTCCACAGCCTAATTATTGTTCACAGGTACTGTTCACAGCACCCAGAACAGCTCGTGTTTTGATCTCTTTCACCTGGTTTATTAATCTTAAACCTAGTTCATTCTATTCATTAATTGAAATCCTAAAATTTTGATTGATTTTCGGCTTTAAGCAACCATAAAAACCCACACAAAGTCAGTTTTACGGTCCTTACAGCCCTGTCCCTAATCATCCTACATCATTATGCTTTAAGCCATGGTTAGCTTGAGGCCTATCAGCTTTTTCCCAATTTCATTAGCATTCACCAAAAATAACCAATTCATCTATGCTAACTCCAAAACAAACACATGCTGTATCAAAAGGCATATTTCTTGCTTCCTTTTTGATTTTGTAAATTTGCCACTCACCCATTTTGACATCTGAGTTTTGGGTTTTCTTCTCCTTTATTTGTGTGTATGCGTGTGTTGGTGTACTACAATCATACAAAATTTTGAAGCCGTCAACACAACACAACATTCCAATTGAAAGCAATGTAACCACCTTCATTCCGCTAGTTTTATAATTACTCACAATGTCCAAGGGTGGCCCGTCCATTAGGTGAGTTAGACAACCGCCTAAGGCCTCATAATTTAGAAGGCCTCAAGATATTTTAATGATATATACTGTTCTATTAAGCAAAATCCTTTCAGTAATGGGCGAAGCTAAAAAAGTTCCTTATTTCTCTAAGTCTAAAACTGAAGTTGACGATGCCTCACAAACTCAAATCATAATTAAAAATAAAAAAGGGAAGCCTCATATTTTTTTTTTTAATTCTTATATACTTGTATTAGATCAAATAAATAAAAGACACGTGTTAGAATGTCCTACATAAAGCTACATTTTCTTTGTTTGGTGTGCTAAAAATCTAACATCTTTCAACAATATCAACATTTCTTCGCTCTAAAGTTGATTATAAAAACTTAATTTGCAAATGGATTAAAAATATTGTCAATTTAGAAAATATGTTTAAAAAAAAGGGGGTTTATTATACTTTCTATCCCTATAGTATCATCAAATTATCTATTTAATCTCTGAACTATCGATTAAACCTACTCAGTCCCTAAAATATATAAATCAAAATTTATTTAGTCCCTAAACTATCGACTGAATCTATTAACTCCCTAAAATATTTAATTCAAACCTATTTAGTCATTAAAATTATTACAAAACTGAAATATGTGCCCATAAGTATTATAAATTAATAAAAGTCTCCATCTAATTAAGATTTTATCACAGAATTTTTTTTAATTTTTATTGTCTTTAAAAATACTTTATTTTGTTGTGTGTTTAAGTTATAGTCTCTCTATTTTACCATTAAAATTATATGAGTGTTAGATATACTAAAGAAGTAGAATAGATAATTTAAATAATAACATTTTCGTTACAAATAATAATAGAACAAAATAATACATTAATTAAGTTATAAAAAGAACTTAGCGAAAACTTAAAAACAATCAATTATAAATTATAAACGGAATTTGACATATAATACTAGGTAAAAGTAAGGACTAGCCATTGTAGAAGATAAGGAAATTCACCATATGAACTAACACTCACTTTTCAAAGATAATAAAAATTTAAGATTTTTAAAAAATAAAATTTTAATTAGATAGGGTCTTTTACTAATTTATAATATTTATGATCTTATATTTTATTTTTGTAATCATTTCAAGGACTAAATATGTTTGAATTAAATATTTTAGAGATTTAATAAATTCAATTGATAGTTTAGGGGTTAAATAGATTTTGATTTATATATTTTAAGGACTTAATAGACGCAATCGATAGTTCAAGAAGCAAATAGATAATTTAACGATAGTTTAAGGGTATAAAGTTGATGTAGGACAAGATTTTAAGAATTTTTATATTTTTAAGTTTTAATATTTTTGATATATTATTAGGATTTTTGTAATTTAGTATAAATATTTTAGAATTATTAAGTTTTTTAATTTTATTATGTTAGAATTAGATTTTGACTAGGATTTTAAATAGTTTAGAATTTTAGTTTCCTATTCTCTTAAGTTTCCTAATTTGTGATGATTTAACTTTCCTACTTTTAGAATTATTTTTCCTACAAGTATTAGGTTTAGTTTATTAGAAATAGCTATGTAAACCTCATGGCAAAGACAACTTTTATTCATTCATTCAATAATATTTCTCTTCCTTGTGGATTCAAGGTTCTATTTTTCTCGTGGATTCGAGAGCCTCTTTTGTCTACTAGAACGATATCTAGTCCTTGTGTATTTCGCTGCGTCAAGTAGTATCAAAGCAAGGTTTTGTCTGTCTCGATGTCATTTATCGAAAGAGCAAGTACAAGCTCTATTGATGATGATCGTAGAGAAAGATTTAATAAGATTCGAGTCAAGGGACTTGTCCAAGGCCAACCTATTAGTCACAACGTTAATAGGAACCGCACTATGGGAATTGCCCAAGGCCAGCCTATTAATTACAATGTCTTGAGACGATCTTCTTGTTATCAATACGATAGTGAGGAGGAATCTGAAGATGAGTTATTCGAGGATCATGGTGAATACCAGTCGGTAAGGCGACAACAAAGATTCAGTGATGTGTTCAATAGCAATAATAACATCAATCATGACTTTTCATATTATCAAGTACCACCAGAAATTCTCTATTTTAATGCTTCTTGTCATGTCGAGGATTTTATTTATTGGTTTCGCAAAGTTGACAAATTCCTTGAGTGTATAGAAATCTTCGAAGAAAAGCAAGCCAAATATGTCGCACGTAAATTACAAGGTTCTGTTTCTACATGGTGGAAGCAATTGCAATATGATCGAAGGCGACAATACAAACAACCTATTAGGATGTGGCATAAAATGAGGAAGTTGATAAGTTATAGATTCCTTCAAACAAATCATGGGCAAATATTGTATCTACAATATCAAAGAAAGCTTGAATCAAAACAATTGTTCCAAGGTAATTTTGATTCACAATATTCTTCGCAATTCAATAATTATTATGGAATTGTGGATACAGATTATTCAAGAAACATGACTATGGCTCTGCCAAGTTTGGGTCAATCAAGGCTCGTAGGTCAACAAATTTGTCACGCTCAACCACACATTGAAGAAGAAAAGATTTTGAGTATCACAATGTTTCAAAATTTTGAAGACCCAAACAAACATTCAATTGAAGTAGATAATCAAGTTGATTGCAACAACGGTGAAAACATTGAAATTGATAAAAGAGAGGTCACTGAAATTACTTTGATCAAGAAGTTTGAAGAAGACGATGAAGAGGTGAAGCAAGAGAAAAACGTTGAAGGTAACCACGAACTTCTAATGACGGAACTATCATCTCTTGATTATTGTGATGGTTATGAGATCGCAAAAGAAGGAGATCTAGTGGAACTCAATGAAAAAGAAGAAATAAAAGATGAGGTAATAAAGTTGACATATGCACCAGA